TTTCTGGACACACAACATTGCAAGTTGATAAAAGCGTTGTAAAAAGAGGAGAAACCAACACAAGCCTAACTGCCATAGCTTAACAAAAGCGTCAGCGTTTGTATGAAGCATACCGAAACAACGCGCCGTCAACGCTGAGCGGTTGGAAAATCCGATTGTGACAGGGCNTACCTCGCCCTATTCACTACAGATGTCGCCCTATGCACTATGCTTTTTTATAGGAACTTTTCAAAGCAAAGGTTTTATGGTGTCGGACACACAACATTGAAAGTTTCTGGATCCACAACATTGAAAGTTTCTGGACACACAACATTGCAAGTTGATAAAAGCGTTGTAAAAAGAGGAGAAACCAACACAAGCCTAACTGCCATAGCTTAACAAAAGCGTCAGCGTTTGTATGAAGCATACCGAAACAACGCGCCGTCAACGCTGAGCGGTTGGAAAATCCGATTGTGACAGGGCGTTAAGTATGGAAGTTGGCTGCAGAAAACGGCGAAACTGTAATTTTCGTGTTACACACAGACAAACCTATGCTTATTGTTTGTGTTATTTCGGCCTTTGACGTAGCGTTGACGCTTTTCTTAAGGTATAGCACTTCGGCGCTAACGCTAGGCATCAGAAACTGCTCCGCCTAACGCTTTTGTTTAGGTATGGCAGTTATGTCGACACCTTCGTTACTGTCAATGTCGCGCCCTTAACCAACTTACGTGAATTTTCCATCATTTCATCACTGCTCATCGCGTACTTTCTTTGGTGAGTTAGGGATTGAGTACAACAAACACTTGCTATTGTTCGTTATCGACTGGAGCTCTTGTTTTTTTTTTGTTTTTTTTTGTTTGTTTGGTTTTTAAACTGCTCAATGTTTTATTTTATTTTATATTTTTTTAGTTCTTTTCTTCTTTGCTTCTTATGTATGTATACGGTATGTTCGCGTTGCTTTCGGCGAAATATGACGTTTGAATTGGTGATTTCATTGAAATTCAATAAAAGTATAAGAAATGCGTGATTTGGAAATTTCACAAAAAAACGAAACAATTTTTTTTTTTAATATGTATTTCGTTACCTTAATATAGAAAGGCCCTATCACACACCGTCGCTGCAATACACAAAGCCGTAACTAACTAAAAATCCAAAATTCACTAATTGATTGATTATGATGCATTTCATCAAATTATAAGTCCCCAGCATACAAAGTAAGACCTCTTCAAAGTGCTCTTTAGCAGTTCAGCCATAAGGCACATTTTAAGACCATTATTTGCACAATTTTTTTCGCCACTTCGCAGGTGCGATCCAATGTACATTTTTAGCATTCATATGTAGCATAACTACATATGTACATATTTTTTTCCTGGTACTACAAAAAAAGGATATACATAAGTATTAATTATTTGCCTAGCTAAAGCAGGTGTTCATGTCATATGTGTGTCGAGATTAGTGATCAGCGAATCTGCGTGAAAAATGGTGATATCCCGCCCTCATATTAATAACAACTAATTTTTTTCAATTTCAATTTTCTTGTGATATTTTAATTTGCAAATTCGGCATCCCTAGTCGTCGACAATGAATTAGAACCTAAAGAAAAGTCCTTACCTTAAAAAGAGTTTGACTGCAAATTAGTATCTACTAGGGCTGGGAGTTCCATCTGGATTTTTTGAATATCCATATGTGTAATCTGGATATTCGAATATCTGATTAGTCTGAATATCCGGACAACAAAATGAACAGTGTTCCATTATTCAGTTTGCAGCTCAATGCATTCACTAACTTTGAGAACAATTTTACGATTTCGTTAAAACACATTTTAGAATAAAAGCTCAAACATGTTGACGCAGACACGATCTACTTTATGGGATTCGCGTGCTAACGAAAACTCACCACCGCATGGCGGTGACCTCAGTATATCCAGTAAACAAACTTAGCTATTTTTTTTCGCCAAGTTTGGTCCCCATAAAGGACTAGTGTTGCAAGCAACGCTTTTTCGGCAATTAGGGTGTTGTGCAGCTATTTAATGTGGTGAAAATTATTTAAGCACTGGGGAGATTTATTCACATGGAATTGGAGATTGGGCTAATAGATCTATTTTAAATAAATTGTGAATCTGCGAAAATATCTTTTCAGCAGATGGATACACTTTTTAACCTTTTTCCCGAAAATGTACATACAGGCTCGAAAATATGCGAGTAACATTAGGTTTGTATAGTAACAGTAACATTGCAGCGAGAGCGTAAAAGCAAAATAGAGCGTTAAATTGAGAAGAAGAGAAAACTAGCAGAAGAACTTATTGAACACAAAACTAGCAATAACTTGCAAGTGAACAGTTGTTGCACTGCTTTGACAATCTGCTGTAAACATTTTACTATTTATAAATCAGTTTTAAACTCTTTGCTTTACACACAAGCACTAACACTGTCCAGTACATCATTAATATTTTTGTTTCCACTCATTTTACTTTTGTTTGTGCCAAGGCGAATCAATATAAGGTGATTGCAGGAGTACAAAAACAAAAATTTACATGTATTTTGTTTTTGCTTTGGCGGCATAAACTGTCAAAACCTGTAAGTGTGAGTAGAAATTCAAACAAAATTTTTCAATTTGATATCAGAAGCCGTGCGGCGAAACACATACACAAAATCAACTGAGCTAGTAACACCACTTTTTATATATTCTTTTGACATTTATTCTTCTTCTTCTTCTGCTAGCTAATTTCTGCTAGCTAATTTCTGCTAGTAAAAATTTCACTAGCAAGAATTTGCAGCTCTCCCGTGATGTTACGCTCTCGATTCAGTGCTCTCTTGCAAAAGTTTGCAGGTTCTAGTACAAATTAGTACTGACTATTGGTAACTATACAAAGCTATTCAAATATCGTCGCCTCGATGGAAAATTGCCGGAAGCGTCATTTTGACAATTTGTGGTTTTTGGATATCTTCTTTAGTTTCCGACTAATTGACTAAAATTTTTTCGGTTATTTGGTACAAATTGCGTTAGTATTGCTGTCGTACTAAACTAATCAAGATCTTTTAAATAGAGCTATCTGTTCTTCTTTAGTTTCCGACATATTCAGCTTTATCATGAGTTTCATTTTCTAGAACCGGGTCACTTTTCGTCTGCGTGTGTTCACTACAGGTGGATGAAAAAATTGTTGGCGAAATTTTGTTCGGGCGAAACTCACGATTAGGCTGATTAGTTAAAAGTATGGTTAATTTATAAAAATTGTTATCACATTTTGGCGTATATCACTAAAACTGACTGCAAATTTTTTGACAAATGTCGTATGCGACAAAATTTTATTAAACTCATAAATGGTTGACACTAAACTAAAAAAAATAAGATAATTTAAGAATTTCATGAACTAGTACATAGCATTCTCCGATACTTTGGAGAAAATCTGTAGTCGTCTTTCTGAGAAATTGCATTCCAAACTTCAATCGTGAGTTACCGAAAGTAACTTGTGACAATCTTTTATCCAGGGATCTACATAAATTATAATTGTCATTATTTTCGCAGTTGGAGTATATGCCAGACGAGTAACAGGTATATACATACAAGGATACCTAAATTAGCGCGTTGAACTTGTATATTTATCTCTCTCCAACGCATTAATTCTATATACGTAGGTACCAACGCCTGACAAAGTCATGTCTAAATTTAATAATGGCTCTATGACAAAATATTCATGGAATGTATTCGTAGATTTTTATTTACTTCATTTCATACATTAGCATTGATGTTTTGTTTTTCATACATTAGTATTGATGTTTTTTACTAAATACCAGGAATAAATATTTAATAAAAAACTATTTCATTTAAGCTTAACCAACTTTTAGTTGCTCGGAGCTAATTTTGGAACGCTTCACGAAACATTATCATAGACAGTAAATGCAACCCTGGGTGCATCATTAACGAGCTGAAAAACCAAACAAATAAAAAAATTCCATCTGAACCAATATTCCCAAAAATTATAAAGCAAAACAAAAACCATTTTTTCCAATTTATGCACTGTTATTTTTATTATTGCAATACAATTTCGCAGCTCTTCAAACATTTTCCACATTGTGCTTTTAGGGCTAGTAGTTTCCGACCCCATTTGCTCGTTTTTTTTTCAATTCCGAATTTAGACTAGGCTTCATGGGAACTTACTGTGGGTGCAAACAGACCACATTTTGTAAACTGAATTGTGATATTTAATTTTATTTTATAATGAAAAATGAATTTAATGTGCAATTTTTTAAGTTTACTAGATGTAAGACAACTTTTAATTTTCTTTATATATTGCATGCTTTAGTTTTAATTGTTTAAGTTAAGTTGTAAAGGTGAAAATAGGCCTCCTGGGCAACCGAGCACATTAAAAAAAAATCGGTAACGCGCGTAAAAGCATACCTCACAAGTGGTGTGGAAAATGCAAGAACAAATATAAATGGAATAATTTTCGAAATTATGAAATGGTTATTGGTATTTTCCATCTCAGAGGGGGTGATTAATTTGAACGTTATTTAAGCTGCCTTTACACGGTCGATTTTTGTCGTTTAACCAAAATCTACCCGTGTAAATTGCAATTCAACCGTAAAATGTAAGCGTTTTGGCTAGTCGATATCTTAAGTAAATTTTCCAGTCGACAGAAATCGACCCGTGAAAAGGCAACTTCAGGAATGTTTTAATTTTCTTTCTTTTTTTTTTGCTTGAGCGTCTTTTGAAGATGTGCCAAATTATATTGTCGCCTTAAATACAAAACAACAATTTCTTTAAGCCATCTTGTGCAGCAATTTGTTGATCTTATCCTCACGGCTACCGAAATCACAAACCTCAACGTCTTGCGCCAGCTTCGGGTTGATGTGTTGAGCTTGAATAGCAACAGCAAGTTGGGGGCTTTCTTGAAGTGAAGTGAATCAACGCGCTTCGCGAAATTTGCGTTCGATCACAAAGCAGAGATTGGGACACGCTGGACCATTCCACGTTTGTACATCAATTCACAAACTGATTTAAGATTTGGATAACCCCATATAGGGGTTCGGCATACGTAGCATATTAATGATTGCCTTGCTCAATTTGATGAACACACCGTTTTAATGTGGCGAAGACAGAACTGTAAAACTACGCACTTTTTGTGCAACTTTGTTGATACCGCGGATGCGGATCACAAAAGCCAATTTGGATTTTTCAGGCCCGTCGAATTGGCCGCATTTCTTTGCCACACAGCGTTACTCCATCTCACGGCGTCCATCACGGAGTTTTCTTGTTTGATATTTCTCAGCAAACACCAAGTTTTCACATTTACGGAGTGCAATCACAGCAGAGCGCTTTAGTTTACGTTTGATCAGGGTAGCAATTTGCTGACCTGCTCTTGCTGAACTGCAGCTTCGGCTCGGGGACAGGAGGCAGCTTCCTGGAAGGTTGTCTGCCCTTTGCTTGCGGTTTCTTAACGGCCCATGATGGCAGTCATCTTAACTTGTTACTTAGCACGTTGAAAAGGCGAAAGAAAGTTCGCCAAATGTTTGGAGCA